AAGGTGCCGCTGTGGGTGGCATCATCATAGCAGCACTGGGCATAGCCATCCCCTGTAAGGCGTGAGCAGGCATAGGGGGCAAGTTCGACATGGCCAGTTGCAGAAAATGTGCAGCCGCCTCCTGCGAGACCAAACCACCATGGGCGGGAAGATCCGGTCGGCCCGCGCTGGGAATCTGCTGTGCCGCTAAAAGGGCGTCCCTGAGGAAGCCCAGAGAGCTTTTTTGTACTTCTCGGCGGAGTGCCGATTCCCCAGTCTCCGCATAGTCCGCGTCCTGCGCCTTCTGCCTGTCCTTGTTCGTAGGCAAGATCATTTGATCGTAGTGCGGTCGGGCAGACTGCTTGGGAGATGGGTGCGCTCCAGACCACAATCGCCAGGGAGGCTTGCCAGGCCCACCCTTGTAGCCACCCTGCTGCTCCCAATCGTGCTGATCTTTCCCTCCGTTGCCTCTGGTTTTGGGCCATCTTTTGCCTCCCATGTGGCGCGCCTCACGGTAGGAAGGACGGGAGTGATGCTTAGACAGCAGTATGAAGTCTGCGATTCTTGCAGACCGTCCAGTGGCCCGTGCCAAATGTATGCGGCCTCGCGCCAAAGATCGGCGTCGGCGAAGCCGACGGTGCCAGGGAGGCGAGCTCCTTGCCAGTCCTATGGCGGCATCGAGTGCGTGCTCCCCTGAGCACTGGGGTACTATCGGCAATAGCTGGGCAGCAGCTTTGATCCGAGACCCTGCAAACATACATACGTATATATGTACGAACGTACATACGACGTACATGCATACAAATACATACACATGTATACACGTGTATATATATATACACACATAATTATACATACATACACACACACACATATATATATATATCTCTCTCTCTCTACATATTACGTATGTACATGCGTACATGCATTGACATACGCCCATATTCTGACGTACATGTGCAGCTGGCTGCAAACATCAGCCCAGCGTAACAAGCACCTCTTCAGGCCAGGAAGCACAAGGACAGGATTGTTCAGACACAAAGCAGCTAGCTCGTGGCCCGACCGGCTACTAGCAGAGCCGAAAAGCCCAACACACAACGATCCATCAACCTTCATGCGCAGAGTGGCAGAGACCAGTGCAAAAGTCGGAGTTCTAGGTCACTCACACTCCAGCTTCTCTTCGTGCTTCCCTGGCTATGCGAGGAGGAGCAGTGTTTATCGGCTTTGCTGCTAACGGTGTATGGCCTAGCGAAGTTCGGTAGGTTGTTCCGGCACCGATACCTAGCTTATGACCCTCACCCAGCTTTGAGAAGCAGCCATGCGTCAAAAACGCCAGAACAACACCCGACAGCCTACAGCACTGAGGATATCGACTTGAGTGTTCCGAAAGATCTAGTTTGGGCACGATCTACATACCAACCCTAGATCCCGAAAGGTCCGGAAGGCTAAGACCGGAGTGTAACCGGGAGTGTAAGACAGAACCTGCTGTAGCCTTCACTGATTGTTTTCTTGCCACTGCCGCGCTGTTCCGTTCAGCGGCGTGCCAGCTGGGCTTCGCGAAAGGACTCAGAGAACCATAGGTAGAGCCCTACAAGCCATTCCGAGAAACCCCAACAAATTCCGGGTCCTAGAAGCAATGCCTGACATTCCCAGAATTGAAACGAAGCCCGAGACCAAGAGAAGCGTTAGACTCCGCAAAGTCCTGGCAGTTTCAGGTGAGACTCAACACTGCGCCGGTTGCTGCTCAGGGCTCTTGGTTTCGGTCTCTAGGGTTTAGCTTAGAGATTGAAAGATTGAGTTCAGGTTCAATTAAGGATGTTACGCTTTTGACTATGGTACCCTCGTTTGGATCGGAAAGACTTGACCCTCAAGCAAGGCGTTTGACTATCGCCTTGGCCGCAAAGCCTCGGAGTCTGGCACCTGAGCACCATGAGACCATGCCCAGTTCCGGAGAGTCCCGACACAGCAGGCACAACCCGAACCCTAACTGTCACTTAACTGAAACCCTTAACTCCAAGAAAGATCCTCGCTCGTTGCCCGAGCCATGTGCTGTATGGACTTCGCCTCAGACATGCGTGCTCGCCAAGCCCACTCTGCTTTGAAGGATTTGGAGAATACGGTTCAGTCGGAGGTGAAAATGCAAGGAACACTTCATCAACTTGCAGATGGATTAAACAGAGAGCGTCGACCGGTGCAAATGACAGGTGCTTGAAATAGAACATGGAACCACTTGCATTCCAAGAGTTTTGAAGCTTGCCCCCTTCGTAGACTGCACTTTGAGGCTGCCCTGAATCCCACAGACGCACTGCTTGGTTCCAAGGATCCAGGGCGCTAGATCTTGAGGCCAGAGCATGTTACGCAACGACTCCACCACCCCCCGGAATTTCAAACCACATCGATTTCAAAGCGGGCTCGTTCATGCAAACGGTGCACAACCAAGAAATCCTCAAGAACCATACTGCCATACAGGTTTCCGATCCACTGGCATGGGATGGGGGGGTGTGTTTCAGCGGGGTGTCATGGGCGGGGGGGGTGTCGGAGTATCATATAATCCCGGGTAATCATTACGGGTGGTGGGGAGTGGGTGGACGTTGAGAACCACAGACTCCGCACACAACCCGGGTCCGGGCAATCTGGTCTCTTGATACATGAGACAGCCCGTCGAATGTAAGATTCGCTGTATGTCTGCTCGCGTGTGCGTTGGAGCTACATTTTCGTGCCCTGTTCGTACTTTGCGTTCTTTCTTTGCGTGTAGACCTCAAAGGCCAAACCCCTAAGCGAAGCCTTACAGCCCCAAGCCGATTCCTATCCTACTCAAGCATAGGCCTGCGAGGCCCCGGCAGCACTCCAAACGTCCCGAAATCTCACGGTGCGGACGTTCCCATCCCATGTAAGGCCTGAAGTGACGGATTAAGGGTTTCGAGCCTGGGGCTTTTCAGGGTTTAGGACTAGTTGGGATTTAGGGTCGAAGGCCTTTCAGGGTTTGGGACTTGCGGTTTAGGGTTTAGGGTTTGGGGTGGAACTGGATGCAGTGCTTTGCACAACCCCGAGAGACAAGGAGATTCGGTCCTGTTATGTTCTGAGTTGCAGGCGGCAGGACCAAAGCGGGGTAAGAGTGAGGCATAAACTCTGAAGCCTAAACCTATGAAGCATCAACCCTAAGCCCATACCCTACACCAAATCGCCCAAACAGCAAACCCGAGACCGCAACCCCAAACAAAAACCGTTGAAGCGGCTTGCCAAAGGGCCTTCCTCGTCCGAATCGCAGGAGTTATCCAGGAAGGTGAACGGACATCCCAAACCTGGGGGGTTCTTGGTTTAAAGCTTTGGGTTTAAGGTTTTAGGGTTTAGAGTTTTGGGTTAAGGGCCCACACCAAAAGGTTCAGGGTTAAGGACACACACACACCGTGCATCCATTTCAACACTTGCTTACTTCTCTGTAGACAACATGTTTGCGTAGTATATACACATGCGTACCCACTTTGTGCTCTCCTCAAAAATCGACGGTTCTAGCTTCAATATTCGCCAAACTCTAAACCCTAGGCCCTAAACCCCTTAAGACCCTTGCTACAGCCGCCTAGAAACCTCCAGGTCACGAACCTCCATATGGAGGAGCCGTGCAGCTTCGCGGAAGAGTTCGTCAAGTTGTAGACTTCTATACAGTATCCCTGGCATGGACCCACGACTGAACTCTCCGTGCGCTTGTGGCACTGGTCTCCATGGAAGTAGAGGGCTTGGTTCCCGGTCATGGTCGAGTTGATGATGCTTAAAAGGCCAGTGGTTTTGACATGGGCATCCAGAGCCGAGTCCAGGATGTTCAAGCTGCCAGTAGCTTCAATACGAGCATGCTCCAGCGTCGAGTCTTCAACGACGCCAAGACTTTGGATATCGAAGTCCATGTTATAGAGAAGTGCAGGGAGGTGAAATCATTGCACATCACTCCACACATCCTTGAACATGAACGGACAGGCGAGGGTCGTGGGTGGAGAATTCTCCATGTCGGCATCGGTTTCCACTGCGAAGTGCGCGGGACTCGCGGTATGCCCATGCCAAGATCACACTCGGAAGGAGCCAGAATAGCATGGCCTCCGCACTAGGATGGGCCATTCAAAGACATGACATCAAGTTGGCCGCGACTTGAAGCATCCTCTCGGCCTCCAGTCGTCAGCGCCCTAGACAAGCTGCTTCCTCCGAGGATAAGATTGTGCATAGATCCTTGGCCCGTGCAGGGGCAATGCACTTTGGCAGTAAGCATATCTAATCTACTCCCACGGATGCAGAGAGGCGCATTTAGCGGCAAACACCTTTCTTGCCCGTGCCCCTGTCCAATGTGAGGAACATGTCTTCAGGACAAGAGGCAAACAGAAAGGATAGTTCAGACACGGAGAAACGAGCCCATAGCAGGCCAGCTACCAGTAGAGCTAGGAAGCCAGAATGCTGCGATCAATCAGTCTTGAGCAAGCACACCTCACCGGCTAAACCGCGCAGGTCAACGTTCACGGTCACTCACGTGTCGGTTGTCTTATGACGACAGTCTGGGCTTCAAGTTAGTTGTATGCGGCCTGGGCGTTTTAGGGCGCCTAGTCAGAGGCCCACATGAAGCTTAGACTAAATCAGCAATGGCAAAACGCCTGAGTCCCTCTCTCTCAAGATTCGATCTTCCACTCCATGTACCTCAACTCTGCCGGAAGCCAGAGAAAGATTGTGTCCTTCCACACCTGGGCTATGCATATGCCAGTGCCAGGAACCCAGGGGCCAAATCGTACATGCTCGGTTTAGTGGCGTTGTGGAGTCTCAAAGCACTCAGGCGAGGCCGCTCACCTCGTGTGCACCTGAACGCTGGCCTGATCCTCATGTCGGCATGACAGATACGATATGCCCTTTTTTTTTTGGCCATGAAGATGGTCTCGACCTCGGAAGCTTCAGAATCGTGACCTGAGTACCACGGAGCCATGCCGAGTTTATGAGTTGCGGGATAAGCCACAGCTGGCAGAGCTTGCAGACATGCGCGCATGGCCTCATTAGGCAAAGATCGGCTTGTCGAAGAGTTCGTCCTCGCTCTTTGCCCGAGCCACATCGTAGTACATGTGCTGTATGGACTTCGCCTCAGTCACTTGCAATCGCCAAGCCCGCCCTGCTATGAAAGAACCATGCATAAACATGCAGCCTCACTGCACCTCCACCCGAAGAGCTGTCAAGTTCAACCCGTACTAAACTATATACTGAACTACTGAACTCTTGCTTGTGCCGAAGGGTCCGCAGGCCTTGTATCTTGGGGGGGGCAAGTGGACACTCAAAGACCTGTCCCGTGATATGCACGCATAGAAGCTTACACGGCACATGACCGGCGGGCTGTTGCCTAGTTCAAGCAAAGTACAGAAACTTCTAAGGCGGAGATGCTGAATAGCCACGGGCTGATGGTCGATATCTCATGCCAAGACTGATGTACTCCTCCGGTGCAACCCTGTGGCCGTGAGGTACTCCTGCATGAGGAACTGCACTTCGCCGATCTGCTTCATGTCTTCTGTCTCAACCCAGAAGTTGACGAGAATGTTCGTTCGCTCCTCAAAAAACCAAGGGACACGGTGCCCTGCAACCCGATCCCTGCTCGGGCGGCCTCCGTTTTCAGCTTCTCGTTCGCAAACTTGTTCTTCACTCGCACGATCTTGAAGCGCTTCTGCAGGGCAGGTCGAGGATGCATGCGAAGGTTCACGCTCGGAAAGTTTGGAAAGAGACTTCGAGCTGTCCTGGAACTCGTGGAAGGCGAGGGCCAGCGCAAATGGGTCTGCTGCGTAGATAGTGGCACGCAGGAAGTCACACACATATCCTTGGGCGAGGGCACGGTGTTGACTCCAAGACTCTGGCTGTGGCGATAGCCTATGTACTGAGTATGAGTATGAAAGGCATCCGTTTTCGCGAGCGTTTTATCACCCTAAGACGCCCACGAACAGGCGAGGTGTGCAAAGGTTCTGGGGAGAAGTGTTGGACATCGTGGATTGGACTGTTTTGCATAGGAGAGATCGTGATCTTAGCAACCGCAAAGGCTGTCCAGCCAGTCGTCGCAGTCGTAGCACTCGGAGTCGTCGTACTACTAGTCACTAGTGCTAGAGGTTTTAGTGGTTGTAGAAGTCGTCCTGGTTGTCGTGGTATTCGTTGTCGTCGTCGTCGTCGAAAGAGGAGGAGAAGTTGCACAAACAGTATCAGCACAGCAGCAGCAGCAGCAGCCGGAGGAGCAGTAAAACCCAGCCGTAGTCGTCTCAAGTGATTCCAGCTTTCGCCATAAGTGGAATAATCCCAAGAGAGAAACACAGAGATTATCCGCATGGGTGAAAATGATGCTTGCAATCGGTACAACTAACAAGCACAGCATCCAACAACACGATCATTGCAAACCAGGAAAGAAATGCTT